GTGCTAAATGTCTAGCCATGCGTTGACATCGTTCAGGTTACTTTGCCACAGTTGTGAGGCTACTACAGGATCTGCGTGTTTCGGCATCACTAGAGTATCGTCCGCAAATGTTGCAGTGTATGTTTCAGCGCTGAGTGGGAGATCTACTGTAAACAGAGTATATAGAGTAGGACCCAACACACTTCCTTGGGGAACTCCAACCTCTATTGGAAATAGTTCAGTGTGACAGCTATACATTTAAACCATAAAATGTCGATCTAGTATGTATGATTTTAAGACGGAAAAGTAGCTATGCGGGAGTTGTAACTTCAATTTGTAGAGAAGTCCGGTGTGCCATACTTTATCGAATGCTTGTGTTATGTCCATAAAAGCTGCTGTGCTGTATTCTTTATTTTACTTGTTCAATAGTAGAGTGGTGCTCGCGAAACCCGAATTAGTGGTTAGGAATCAGACATCTGTTTTCGATAATTGGCTTTAGACGTTTTAGGAATACTCTCTGAAATACTTTTGACAACACAGGAAGTAAGCTGTTAGGTCTGTAAGATGTTCCAAGTTCGACGGGCTTAGCGGGTTTTGGAACTAATATAATTTGGGACACTTTCGATTGAGCTGGATAGTGTTCACAGGTGAAAATTGCATTGAACAATGGGTTCATGAATTTAAAACCCACATCTGGTAGCTCATGTAGCACCTTTCCAGTTATCAGGTCATATCTAATTATCAGTTATCAGGAGCTTTTCTGGTTTTAATTTTGTTTTTTATGACCCACTTTAATTCACGAGTCAAAGACCTAGTAATAGAAAAGTCTAATTGATGTGACATGTGGAGAAAAGCTTCAACTTAAGAGTCTTTCAGATTATTTTTAGAGCAGCGTGGCTGAAAGGCTTTGACAAGGTGTACTGCAAAAGTATTCGCTTTATCAGCGTCAGTTTTAGCCCATTTCTTTATTGGTGGTATATGCGTCGTAGGTCCATTAAGTATGCATGTAGCTTTTTACAAGGAGTATTCAGTGGCCTCAGAGGGAGACAAACTTGCTAAGTAAATTGCAATGCTCGCATTTTTTCTTGCCTCTAGATTTACTTTGAGTTTTTTGATGGCTACATTCAGACACCTCTTATCGTTAGGATCTCTCGTCAATATTATTTTTATGATTATTGCTGTGCCACCACGGGCATTACCAGAATAATGGTTTGCGTTGTACATAGTGTTATAAGGAAGCTTCAGATAACTTCTCCATGTAAAGTGAGTTTCACTAATAAGCATAACATCAATGTTTTTGTCAAGAAGAAAAGTCTTAATTTCGCAAATGTGTTGGGTCAGCCCGTTAGCGTTCCAAAAAGCTATCTTTAGACTTCCCATTATTTGGATGTATTAGAGACAAACGTGGTTTGTCTGTTTTGAGCAACTGTTTTGAGCATTGATTTAAGATCAGGCAAATCATTTTGCTGAGCTGAGCTGCACCTGAGTGTTTATATTGCTAGATATAACAACATTTGCAAAAGTTTGGCTTCTTTCATTCAATTTGATGTCTTGTTGCATTTCTGTAACAATTGTTGTTTTTCTACGAAGGGCTGGAAACGCTTTTTTCTTGAGTAGAGTGTGCACCCTTTATAGTTAGCCGGGTGATCATCTTCACAAAGAACACACCATACATCATTGCCGAGGAATTTGCGAGGACAATCTGAGCATAAATGGTTTTCAGGTCATTTAACACAGCGTGGCATACGATTACAAAAATGTTTTGTATGACCATAGCGCTGAAACCGAGTGCATTGCGACAATTCGCGCTTCTTTTTAGGTGCTTCGATTGAAATTTTAGTGTGCAGCAAACCAGTACAGTCGTAAATTGATTTCGCCTTGTCTTAGGGCTTTACTCCAACGAAAAACAAATGAAGTGGTTTTTTTGTAACTCGATGACGAATGTTACTGATATTGACGTCTTCATGGCCTAAATTAATTAAACCTATTTTAATTTCATCAAGAGGTATTGATAGAAGTACGCCTCTCAACACGACGTTGAAGCTTCTATCTTACTTAAGCTTGTATGTATGAAACTCCGTCTGTTTTTCTGCAAGAGCTTTAGTAACTTTTGAGTAAATATCCGCTGTGTTGGACTGTATTTTGACTTTATTATTACCCAAAATTTTAAGAACAAACTCATTTGGAGCCACATCATTTAGCAATGCCAGCAATAGGTGAATGTTACCAACATCCGCTACAAATATTGGTGGTGGTTTAGGAATTTTACTTTCTTTAATTACTTCGGCATGTTCTGATGTTTCGCCCTGATTATCAGCGTCAGAGATGTCGAGAAAACGGTTAGGTGTTGCAAGCCAGTAGCTGTCAACCTTTTTTTGTTTCGTAGGTTGATCATTTTCTAGCGATTGTGATGAATTATTATTCAGTTCAATTTTATTGGCTGTAGCAATTTCACTAGCTATTTTTGCTATATTTGCTTCAGTCATTGTTTTGTGTAGAGGTTTGGTTGTTGGTTGATTATTTATTTTAATGTCATCTGCAGTAAGCATAAGATAGCCGTTTAGTCCATTTTCACTTATTTGAGAGTGCCGCAGTGTAGCACAATTACTCATACACTTGTTTTATAATATAATTACAGAATGTTTATATGATTATTTTTTAATTATTTAAAATTTTTAAAAAAATGATTTACGTTTATTTACGTTTTATAAAGATAATTAAAACTTACACTGTGGCAACACCACATCTACAATTTATTACTTTCATTAAGAAAGCATATGCTGTCTCTATCAGCTGATTTTAACAAAACACAAATTTTTTGTTTTTGTTCATTTTGCGAAATTAAAATTTTATTTGCTAAAATAAAAAGTGTTTAAATTACACAAAATAAACCTAACCGTTCAAAATCAGGCACCGCTTTTCAGAAGTTCACCTTATTAATTGTAAAGCGTCCAGGCTGGGTGTTGATGATGCGCTCATTGGCTTTATAAATCAGTTGCTAACTGGCAGACTCATTGAAGCAACGATGGGCTCTTCAACGGCACGCAGAAGGGTGAATAGAGGTACCCCCCAAGGAGGAGTACTCTCCCCTCTCCTTTGGAACATAGTGGTGAATGAACTGCTAATAAAACTGAAGGCAGAGGGCTGAGAAACTATTGCATATGCGGATGATATTGCGATAACAGTCACCGGAAAATATACTACCACTCTTAGGGATATTCTACAAAATGGTCTTAATATCCTAAACAATTGGACACAAAAATGTGGCCTTGGGGTGAATCCCAATAAAACTGAAATCGTAGTTTTCACAAGAAAACATACGGTCCCGAATCTTTCTCCACCCTCTCTACGAGGTTCTGTGATACATGTGAAGGAGGAAGCCAAATTTTTGGGTATAGTTTTCGACAGGAAACTCACTTGGAAGAAAAACACTCTAGAGCGCGCAAGAAAAGCCAATGTTGCGCTTCTTCTATGTCAGAAAGCTATTGGTAAGAAGTGGGGTCTTCAACCTCGCATCACCCAATGGCTATATATAGCTGTTATTAGGCCCATATTGATGTATGGTATTACGGTATGGTGGACAGCTCTTGATAAATCTTCGTACTACTCGGTACTTAACAGGATTCAGCGTAGAGCTGAACTCTGTATTAGCGGGGCGCTATGCACCACACCATCCATTGCACTAGATTTGATGCTTCAGTTACTGCCAATGGATATTATTAGTAAACAAATGGCAGCTTCATCTGCTTTAAGACTAAAAGCTACCCCACAATGGAGAGACAGTGACTATGGTCATGCCTCCATTCTAAATCTTTTCAATTTTACTCCTAAAAACGTTGATTACATCACACCCACTCTCAACTTTGACAGGAAATTTGATGTCGTGTTTCCATCTAGAGAGGTATGGACGTCAGGTGGTCCCTTCTTAGATGAGGGTGTAACCATCTTCACTGACGGATCCAAAACAAGTAGTGGTGTAGGTAGTGGAGTTTTCTCAGAGGAATTGAACAAATCTTCCTTCTTTAGGCTTCCAGATCATTGTAGTGTCTTTCAGGCGGAAGTGGTCGCCATCAGGGAAGCTATAGCTTGTTTGAATGTAGATGATATATTTGGCAGGAATATATACATACTATCAGACAGTCAAGCTGCATTAAAGTCCTTGAGTTCAGTCCAATTTACATCTAGGACGGTTCTTGACTGCTACACATCTCTAAACGAAATGTCGACGCAGCTCAATATTTCTCTAATCTGGGTTCCCGGCCATAGGGATATTTTCGGAAATTGCAAAGCAGACGAGTTAGCCAGAAAGGGTGCTTCAGAACCATACTCGGAGCACCTAGAATATCTGGGCATATCGCTAACATCATGTAAATTGTTATTGAGTTCTTTCTGTGCTAATACTTTTAATAAAAGATGGGAAGACTCAACGATATGTAGACATCTGTATGCAATCTGGCCACTTTCCGATAAAAGGAAATCGAAAACTCTTATTGAGATGTCCCGCAAGGACATTGGTCTTCTGGTAGGGTTGATTACAGGGCACTGTAAGCTAGGGAATCATGCTAGAAGACTAGGTCTTCCTTTCAACCAAATCTGTCGTAGCTGTGGGGAGGACGATGAGAGCGCATCTCATCTTTTGTGTTTCTGTCCAGCTCATGCACGTTGGCGATTTAGTACTCTAGGTGCCCCCTTCCTTGAGGACCTGGACCAGTTACAGGATCGGGCTTTAAATAGCATTTTATGCTTCGCAAAAGGTTCTAGGTGGTTTTAAACCCTGAGGTTTTTATTATTTATATACGGCATCACAATGGGCCAATAGGCCTAAGTGGATCCACTAGGGTTCACCGGTATAACCTAACCTAACCTAAAGCGTCCAGGCGTTCACAACTTCAAAATTAAAAACTCAATATTTCTAACTAAAAACAATAAAAATTAAGGAGTAACCACCGTTCGCGCGCGTTGAAATTTACGATGATTATTTAATTATTTTTTATAGTTTCAAAATACATTCTACATCGTGCATAAAAAAGTTTTTATTTATTTTACAAATTATATAATGTAGTAAATTTAATGGGAACTAGTAACAATTAGTAAACAATTATACGTTCAGATTGCAATTATAAGAGGTATACAGGATGTATGTGCATCGGTGAATGTGCGCCATTGTAAACTCAAATAATTGTGAATACATTTTGTGCATATTAGTCCTGAAAATATATAGAACAGCTGATTTTTGTTTTCGTATTTATTTACTTGTAAGATATAACACAGATTCGATATGCATAATTTTAACAATGCCGAAAAAGTGAAAAGCACAATATATTGACATAGTCCGACATTGTTGGACGTACAATAAATACAAAATCAAGCAATTGCACAAAATTACAAAATCAAACAAAAGTTGATAGTTTTGCTAAAGTATTGTCCAGCGAACAGTAAAGAAAGTAGTATCATACACAATAGTCTTGAAAATTATATATGCAAGATGAAATTTATGTGAAATTTTAGTCGCGAATATTGTCTTGCAAATCAAATGCAGAGTTATAAGAAAAGGAATTGTTTCTGTAAATAATTTTGCACATACAACGATGCACAGACATCCTGAATACCTCTATAAAAATAATGAAATATTTTTAGTTGTTTTCTTATAAAAATGCTAAAAAAAATTTACAAATTTATCACTTTAAAATTATTGAATATCATAATGGTGCGATTTTGCCGTTGTTGTAAAAGCTGTAAAATCATTTCAAATCATTATATTTTATTTTTTTGATTTAATTTTAGAAATTAAATTGTCATGATTTTCGTGGCGAAGTCGATGGTGGTACGTAATGCCTCATCATGTCTTTCGGGATATTTTCGTAGGCTGAAAAATGATGGCAGTGAGCAACTTAAAGAAACTCTAGACTATGTACCTACTCACCTGCAAGTTGGGATTTTGGTTGAGAAGAATTAGTTGACGTAGTTGAAAACGACGAATTCATGATGTTTTTTGGTATCATTACATTAGCGGATTCATGTTGCTGTAGCTGTTGATTACCTCGAAGTGATGCCATTGCAAATATGGGTGTTTGTGGAGGCAAAGGGGCAGGCAGTTTTGTTGAGTTCAAATTTTGTGATATATTACCAGTTATAGAGGAGTAACTTATGTTGTCTATACTTTGTATATTTTTACCCATTAAACTAGAAATCGTTGTTGGAACTGGAGATCTTATCGATTCATTACCGATTTCGCCGGTATATCTATTGTAAAAAATTATGAATGTTAGATACAAATAAAAATTGGGAATTTATATATTTGCAAATAAAAATAATTAATAGTAAATCAAAATCTTAATATAGTCTGCATTCTTTATGCACTTTAAATTCATTACAAGAAGTTGTAAAAAGACAATTACAAAATAATTCTTGAACAATTTGAAGAGACGAATAAAACCTGCAATATTCCACTTAATGAGCTCAAGATAACAATTTTTAAACAGAATAAAATATTAAATAATAGCAATGTTGTCAATTTGTGTTCTTATTTTTACGCGCAAAAATCTGAAAGAATTTGAATTAAAATTTACAGCACCGAATTAAAAAAATTCGTTTATTGTGAATATTCACTGGAAATATGTTCAAAATTTCCAATCAGCTATTAAACAGAGCGAGTTGAAAACAGTATAGAATTATTAAGTATAATATGATGTATAATATGATAATATATATAAGATATATAATATCATTATAAAAATGATGTTTTAAAGTACAGTTATAATTACAACCTATATCACAAAGAATTAATGATGGGTTTCTTAGTTTCTACATATCTTAACAGAAAGAGGAAACTCGGGTTTATTCTGGAGGAGTTTTGCTAAATTCAGTATAAGAAGAAATATTTGTAAAAATATTAAATATTAATTTAGTTACTTTTCATTATAAATATTGATCTAACTCGATGGATACAAATAAATTAAAAATATAAGCTCGGAATGTCTCAGCAAGCAACTACTAGAAGTGAGAACAATCCCAATGCAATTGAAGTACTATTGGTATCAGAGACACATTTCACTGCAAAACTTTATAATAAATCTGACAGCTGACAAAGCCACAAACTACTCATTATGAAAAGCAATCAAAATACTAACAACTCTGTAATGAATTAATCACCTCTAAGGAAATTAAATAGGACTTAGGCTGGAATCAACCCCAAAAAAACTGAACTATTTACCGCCTATTTCGAAGCTACGTTAAGCAACCTAAAACAACAATATAGCAATGTAGAAGATAACAGCTCAATTCAAAATATAGCAATAAAAAAGTCTTTATAACAGAAATAAAAAACACTGCAAAATAAATTAAATTAAAAAAATTACCGGCATTTGATGGTATAACGAGAAAGATTCTAATTGATTTGCTTTAACAAGCACTTGTATACCTGGGAAACGTGCTTAATTGGGTTCTTTACATCAAGTATTTTTCAATAGATTAGAAAATATCAGAAGTAATAACTACACCCAAACCAAGTTAATACATAAGTTTTGTCAAATTTGTTTAAAAAAATACTGTAGCCGATCATTCACAAAGAAAATTTGTTGTAGACCATCAATTCGGCTTTCAGAAAAAATATTTAACTATACAACAGTTTCACAGAGTAGTAATTAAAATTACAGACAATATTGACTTAAAATATTGGAAGTGTCATAATAATAATTTAATATTACCTAACATTTTTATTCGACGCGTTGATTACGCCATCCGTAACGCCCGGTTTAGGCACATTAAACTCAAAGTCCCCTACTCGCCTACGTATTCCACATTTAATCTGCAATCTTTTCGCCCAAATGGAAACAATCCGCATATTTAAGCGGAAACTTCTTCGGGATTGCACTAACTCTGTTCTTTATAACAATGCTAACATCACTCTTGTTAACGAGTACCTTTTGGCACTCGCCCGTAAATAACTCACCCGGCTCCATGATCTCCCTCCTGACGTCTGTATCCTTAATACCCTCCACGAAAACTTCATTCAAGCCTTGCGCTACAAACGTCCATAATACTTGTCCCACTGCTTCGGTCATTGCGATCATAATCTCCACACTATTTCCTTTTATAGCCGCGGGTTTCGTGACCCTAGTTACAAAGTTTATCGCTAGTCTCACCCGCGCGTATCCGGTTGAACCTCACCCTCTTCACCCTATCTACCTAATTTACGCCGCTGCTTTCTTTTTTTTTTATTTAATTTAAATTCAATATATATTCTGTCACATAGTATGGTGACATTTCACAATTTTTTAATATATACTATTTCAGTCTTGATCATTTACAATTAAAGTAGTTCTCCCTGTAGAGAGCTACTCTTTTCTTTTTAATTTAAGATTTTTATAATAAAGAGGTTTTCGAACAGAAGTGAAACAACAACAAAAATTTATTTTTTAAATTATTTTAATTAATTGAATTTTTGGTTGACCATACAGCTGTTTCGAGTATTGCCAAATACCCTTCATCAGTGGTCTTGGAAATAATTCTTATATTTAATTATTCGTAAATAATTATTTTTGAGACTGCAAGTACCAGGAATCGAACTCTGGTCCTGCCAAATATGAAGCTCAGAATCAGCGCACCTTAACCAACTGATCCAAAGCCGTACTTGGCTTTTTGTGTTCGCATATTTTTGCTGGAGTTTTGTTACTTTTGCTATGAAAGTTTTTATTAACAATTTTACTTGCTGTATTTATATATTAGAACGAAATCATAAACCAGCTGTAGAATAATTGAATTAATTAATTAATTATATTTTTTATTTTTAATTGTTCAATTTCAAAACTATTCTATTCGTAGAGGCATTAGATTTTTATAATAAAATTTGATTTTTATAATAAAATTTGAAGCGGCGTTTTCCTTTTCAGTCTCGTAAATATATTTGAGGGGGACATCAAATTCGAAGCAAGAATGTTGGGATGAATTTGTATTCGTTCATGGTATTTTCTGGCTATGGATTTGAATGTTAGTTACATACCATGGAGCATTTACTATTTCTCGTAAACTTTTAGACTGAAATATTTGAAGAATTTCTATGTTGGATGTTGATGCTGTTCTCCATAGTTGAATGCCATAGGTCCATACTGGTTTTGGCACACTTTTATATAAAATAAGTTTATTCTTTAGAGATATTGAAGATTTTTTATTCAGTAGCCAAAACATTTTTCTATATTGAATCCCAAGGGATTTTCTTTTGTTAAAAATATATGTTTTCCATGTCAGACGTCTATCTAAATGCATGCCCCGGTATTTAGCGCTGTTTGATTGCGGAATTATTATATTATTAAGTTTAATTTCCGGGCAGGTGTCTTTTCTTATTGTGAATTTAACATGAGTAGATTTTGTTTCATTTGCTTTCATGCGCCAATACCGCAACCATTTTGATATACGATCAAGACCAGCTTGTAGTTTGAAAGAGGCTACAGAGGGATCGTTTGCACTCGCCAGGATAACTGTATCATCTGCAAATGTACCGGTTACAATTGCTACTATCTTCGGTAAATTGTGTGTAAAAAGCAGATAAAGGGTTGGAGCGAGTACATTGCCTTGTGGTACTCCAGCTCTAATATCATGTAGAGAAAACATTTCATTCTCATTGTTGACATAAAAGAGTCTTTTCAGTAGATACGATTTTATGAACGTATAATAGTTAAGTGGCAGAAGCTTTTTACATTTGAAAAGAAGTCCTTGATGCCATACTCGATCAAACGCTTGAGATATGTCCAAAAACGCTGCTGAGCAGTATTCTTTTCGCTCGAAAGTGGTCTGTATTTTTTCAACAATTCTATGAATTTGCTCAATGGTTGAGTGTATTCTTCTGAATCCAAACTGGTGGTTCGGAATTATTCGTTTCGACTCAATTATCGGTATAAGACGTTTTAAAAATAATATCTCAAGAACTTTTGAAAGAATGAGAAGGAGACTTATTGGACGATAGGATTTTACATCTTCAGCTGGTTTCCCTGGTTTTAGTATCATCTTTATTTCGGCAACTTTCCATTGTTCTGATATGAAACTTTTTAACAAGGATGCATTGAAAAGATGAGTAATAAATATTAAAGCAACATCTGGAAGTTTTTTAAGAATTTCAGCAGTTATGAGGTGATAACCAGGTGCCTTTTGATTTTTAAGAGATTTAATTGTAGAAATTATTTCTCGTTTTTTAAATTTAATAATTGGTAACTCCATTTGCTGAATTTCTTCTAAAAATTTGGAAACATTGACATCTATTTCTGAATCGCCAGTCATATCATGTGGAATAAAAACGTTTTTTAGACGGCTTGGAAAAGTTGAGCTTTTTCAGACGGTTTTTTCGCCCAAGTATTATCAGTCTTTTTAAGTGGGAGTCGATAATCTTTTGTATTATTTACTTTTTTATTTGTTTTCAATAGAGAATAGTGAGATAAGTGAGACGTGTCGAGGCTATGTAAGAACTGCTGCGTATTTTGTTCCGTCTGTCGTTTCAGCAGAGTCTTTAAATCTTTAATAATTTTGTTAAGTTTCCTCTTGTCGTCAGGAAATCTGAAACGATACCATATTTTTCTAGTAATCCGTTTATTCTTTAGTTTTTTTGTGATCTTCCCAGTACACATTACTAGATTCTTCATATAGACTTTTGGAGAAGGAGTAGCTTCCCATGCCTTTTATTGTATTTTTTTCTTATATTGTCAAATTCAGCTTTAACTAGGGGAATTTGTAGATCTCGGTGTATACTTTCATTCCTAATATACCATGGGGCACCAGTGATAATTCTTAGTATTTTGTATAATTTCAATATTTGAAGCACTAGCATTGCCAAATAGCTGGATACCATAAGTCCATATTGGTTTTATGATGCTGTTATACAAGAGTACTTTATACTCTAGGCATAGGGAAGATCTGCTATTAATGAGCCAATGCAACTTAGAGGCTTGAAGCTTCATCTGAGTTTTTTTGGCTTCAATATGTTTGCGCCAAGTTAGTCGTCTGTCTAGGTGGATACCTAAGTATGTTATATTATCTGCTTGTGGTATGGGAATGTTGTTTAATAAAATTGTTGGAGATGTACTCCGATTTAAGGTAAAAATGACGTGTCTATATTTTAGTTCGTTAATTTTAATTCGCCATTTTGACAACCATTTCTCCACCCGATATATGTGAGTTTGAAGTTGGTTTGAAGCTAGCACAGCGTTTCTGTTTCGGCATAAAATTGCCGTATCATCGGCAAACGTTGTGGTGAT